CACGTATTAATTGTATTCATTACAAACGTGTTAATGAAGATAAGTTTGAATCAACTTTGATTGATCTTTCCATGAGTAAGGTATCGTATCCAAATTTTTTTTGTACTGTTTTCAAACTTTACCATTTTATACATACCATGCATAATTTTTTTGTTGTTCCCTATTTTTGATGAAGTCAAAAGGGGGAGAAATAATTGCTTTACTTTTGATCAATTTAGGGGGAATAATTCTTTATTTAGGGGAAACTGCAATTTAGGGAGAGAAATGATTATTTTTTTATTACTCACTAATCTATTATTCAAGTGACTTCTTCTGCAGAGTTATTATTCAAAGTGGTGTTTGTCTTCATCAAATAGGGGGAGACTGAAAGTGATGAAGATCTTATTGAATTACTTTGACAAAGATCTTGTTGATTTGATGAAGACAAAAATGAAGTCAAAGGCAACTTTGTAGTAGTCAAAAGTCTCTTAGATAAAAGAGTAGAGGGATTAGTGTGTCTGCAGCTCTGCTTAGGTATAATCATTTTTATCTTTCTGCTGCATGAGGTTTCTTCATTTAAAAGATTTTGCAAATGCCTCTAAAAAATGTTTAAACGGTTAAAAACAAAGTATTTTGATAAAAGTTTTCTTAACCAACTATTTTAACTAATAGCATATAAACTTTATCAACTAAAATGTTCTTAATACTTTTGTAACAGGTTTTTAATTGATATAATTTCGAGATAACCGATTGTTTTCATTAAATGAAGTTTTGAAAACCTTCTGCCAATATTTTAACTAATACAGTTTCGAAATAACCGATTAAAATCACTTAAAATGTTCAGAGAAGTGTTCTGGCAGTATTTTAATCGATATAACTTCGAAATAATCGATTAAAACCACTTGGAGTACTATATGATCAATCAGAATTGAGTTATGACCGATCAGAACCAAATATGATCGATCAGAATTGAGTTATGACCGATCAAAACCAGATATAATCGATCAGAATTGAGTTATGACCGATCAGAATTGTTTTAATCGATTAAATTTCGTTTCAATCGATTAAAACAACTTAAGAGAATTTCTACACAGCATTTTAATCGATTAAAACATATTTTTATCAGTTAAAATCATTTAGAAAAATGTATAAAAATGTTTTACAGTATTTTAATCGATTAAAAGTCGAAACAATCGATTAAAACAGATTGAAAGATTTTTTACAAAGGGTTTTAATTGATATAAACGTTGTCGTATCAGTTAAAACAAATCTGGAAAATAATCAAGAACGTTTTAATAGATTAAAACGTTTTAATCAATAACTTCACACATTTCAGATTTCAACCAATAAAATCATATAACCAACACCTTCTCTCATCCTTTTTCTCTGATTGTGCTTGAGTGTTTTTCCACGGAGCAAAATGGGCTTATTTATATTCAAGAGTAATTTAAGTTATCACAACTACTTTATTTATCCACAAGGGTATTAGCAAGATAACTAATGTCGGGACATTTTACAAGAGAACAATTAAGATATCACGACTTCAAAGTACTTGAATGAAATATTTTATGGTGAAAGTGAGTATTCAGTAACACCTATGTGTTGTATTTATATAACAGAGTACAAAAGAGAGGTCGGGCTCCTACTTCATGGTAAGAATATGGGTACATACATTAAAAATTAAAATAAAATATATTTTAACACAATTATCTAGGCTACTTGTAAAAATGAACATTAAACTAAAAGAAGCTCTTATCCCCTAAAATATTCCTATTTCCAACATACATAATTTTTATATTTGGTCCTTGTCCACATTTCCATTAAGGTTTCGTTAAGGACCTACAAAATAATAAAGGAAGCAATTTGATCCTAAATTATTTCAAAATTTTCAATTGGACCCCTCTAATTAATAGTATAATACCAAAATGAAAATGTGATCGAGGACTAAATTAAAAATCATTTGTAATTGTAGGGACCTAATTACAAATTTTTAGGACTCCTTTGATAGTAAAAATATGATGGGTAGGATATAAAAGCAAGATACATGATAAAATAAAAGCAAGATAAGCATAAATCTTATCCACTGTTTAAAATGAACATCATGGTAAGGATCATTTACATCATGGTAAGGACCATATAATGATCACAATAATGAGAATTATAACAATGATGACGATGATAGTGTTCATGATGCCAATGATAGAGATTAGAGTTGTCAAAACGGGAAACACAACCTAACTTGACCTAGCCCTATGAGCCAAGTAAAAAAATTTAATAATCCAACTTGACCTATATTTTAAAACAAACCATAATTTTTAGCCTAGTCTGACCTTATATTAAGCCAATGGGCCAAAAGATCAATTTTGACCTGAATGAAAATTGTTAGATATTGTTAACCACAATATCAAACAATATCTTCTGTATATTTTGTTTACTTTCGGTTACTCTTTTAGTTGTACATCTCTCTATTATAAATAGATTACCCTATGTGTGGTTTATACACAAGGGAGATTAATCTCAAACCGTATTTCCTCTATATTCAACATGATATCAGAGCCAAAGCCTAACATCTTTCCGATTATTGTCATGGGCCAAAAGTTGCCCTTTAGTTGGATCAAAAGTACCATTTACCTAAGTCTAACCTTCCCATTGCCCTCCGAAAATATATCTTTTCTACACGTAATCTCTCTCCCCATTATATTGCTTTGAGTTATCATCGACTGTCATTACCTTTTTATATATGTCTTTCCTCTATTTCTTCTGTGACCATTCCAAAAACTGTCCGTGAAGCTTTAGCCCATCCTGGTTGGCGCCAGGCCATGTTAGATGAATTAAGTGTTCTTCATAATAGTGGAACTTGGGAATTGGTCCCGTTACCGTCTGAAAAATCTGTTCTTGGTTGTAGGTGGGTGTTTGCTATCAAAGTTGGACCTGATGGTACTATTGATCGCCTCAAAACTCGTCTTGTGGCCAAAGGTTATACTCAAATTTTTGGGTTGGATTATGGAGATACATTTTCCCCCGTGGCAAAAATGGCTTCTGTTCGTTTATTTATCGTCATGGTCGCTCTTCAACAATGGCCTCTTTATTAACTGGATGTTAAAAATGTTTTCCTCAATGATGATTTGCAAGAAGAAATCTATATAGAGCAACCTCCTGGATTTGTTGCTCAAGGGGAGTCTTCTAGGATGGTATGTTGTCTTCGCAAATCCCTATATGGCCTAAAACAGTCTCGTAGGGCCTGGTTTGGAAAATTTAGCAAGGTTGTTCAACAATTTGGTATGACTCGATGTGAAGCAGATCATTTTGTCTTTTATCGACATTTGAGTGTTGGATGTGTTTACTTGATAGTATATGTTGATGACATCGTTTTTACAGGCAGTGACAACCATGGCATCTCTCAGTTGAAATAACATCTATGTCACCATTTTCAAACCAAAGATCTTGACAAACTTAGATATTTCTTGGGTATTGAGGTGGCACAGTCCAATGATGGTATTGTTATATCTCAGAGGAAGTATGTCATGGATATTTTGGAGGAAATTGAGTTGATGAGTTCAAAGTCTGTTGATACACCCATGAATCCTAATACTAAACTTCTACCAAATCATGGGGAGCCTATATGTGATCCTGAGCATTATAGAAGATTGGTTGAAAAATTAAATTATCTTACAGTTACTCGTCCTGACATTTTCTTTGTAATTAGTGTGGTAAGCCAATTTCTTAATTTCCCATGTGAAGATCATTGGAATGCAGTCATTTGTATCTTGAAGTATATTAAAAGATATCCTGGAAAAGGATTATTATATGGTTCTAATAACCATACAAGAGTTGTTTGCTACTCAGATGTTGATTGGGCAAGATCTCTTTCGGATAGAAGATCTACATCTGGATATTGTCTCTATTGGTGGCAACTTGATTTCGTGGAAAAGTAAGAAATAGAGTGTTGTGGCAAGATCCAGTGCAGAAGCAGAATATAGAGTTATGGTCTCAGCTTCCTGTGAACTTGTTTGGCTCAAGCAATTGCTTAGAGAGTTACAATTTGGAGATGTCACTCAAATGGCACTTGTGTGTGACAATCAAGTTGTTCTTCATATTAATTCTAATCTTGTATTTCATGAGAGTTTCATGAGAGGACCAAACACATTGAGATTGACTGTCATTTCATTCGAGAAAAGATTATGTCTAGAGACATCAAGACTGAGTTTGTTAACTCAAGTGATCAGTTAACAGATATTTTTACTAAGTCTTTACTGAAGCCTAGAATTGGTTATATTTGTAACAAGCTTGGTACATACGATTTGTATGCTCCAACTTGAGGGGGAGTGTTAGATATTGTTTAGATATTATTAAGATATTGTTAACCACAATATCTTCTGTTTATTTTTTTTACTTTCAGTTACTCTTTTAGTTGTACCTCTCTCTGTTATAAATAGATTGCCCTATGTGTGGTTTATACACAAAGGAGATTAATCTCAAACCATATTTCCTCTATATTCAACAAAAATCAAAAAATTAATATTAACATAGTTGTACCAAAATAATTAATTAAAAAAATATTTAAATCGTATTAATCAAATTAGTTTTAATTTAAGATATAATGATTTATTATATATAAATTATAACATATAGATATCAAAATAAGAATTAAAAACTTATTTTTCATTATCATCATTTACTTTTTAGTAATTTATTAATCTAAAATAATAATTAATCATAACCATTAGATTTTGAACTAAGTGGTTATTAGAGACTTACTCTAATATTTACTCTTAGAAAAAATAATCTCTTGTCAAATTAATTTATAATATTTTTTTTTTTAATAAAATATTATTTTTAATTTTATTTAAAAAATAATTATTATTCTATAAAACGGATCGACCCAAAAGCCTACAGGTTAGCCTAGTCTAAGTCCATGTAAATCATGGCTTAAACAGATCGGGTCAAAATAAACTTAATTCAATTTAGATCACAATTTTTTTTGCCGAATCTTACCTATTTATCGAACTTTCAAGCTAAGTCTATTTTGACACCCTAAGAGTGATAGCAATGATAGTGTTGGTAATTACCATGATAGTGTTCGAGATGACAATGGTGCGAGTAGTGGCAACAATCATGAAAGTAATAATACTAACAGTGGTTATGATGGTGGGGTAGAGCTTGGGGTAAACTTGAGCAAGCTTGTGCAAGATTGCTCAAACTCACAATTTCATGTGCATGTTGGCAAGTTCACTTGGGGCAAAAAATCTCACCCAAAAGACACCCATTTGGTGCCATTTTGAGGTGTTTAAATATAAAATGTTAAGGCATCTTACCACTCATATCTTGAAATTATCATTTGTTTCATAACACCAAAAATTGCTTCAGCCTTCAATCTCTTAAAATCCCATCATCATTCTTGTGAAGGCTCCTTTAATTTGACCATCATCTCTTTTGATCATCATTCATCGAAAATTTGTTCTCGTGCTTTCTCACTTTTGATCACAAAGTTCCCTTATTTCTCTCTATTTAGTAAGTAAGAGCTGCAAACCACTTAAAATCCTTATTATTGTCTCTCTCTCTTACATGTCTCTTTGTATATTGTATAAGGTTTTGTTTTTCTTCATTTAAAGTATATCTTTATGTTTGAGAGATGCTGAAATATTAAGCAACAGTTTCAGCATTTAAAGAATTGGAAATTGGCTTTATATTTCTTCAAAGTTAACTTGCAAAGTTTACAGTATAATTTTTGGATTTGGAGTATGTTTCAATCTATGTTAGGTACTTTAACTTTATTTTCATATTAAGTAAATTCTTACAAGTTTATGAGTCATGCTTTCGATTCAAGATTTAGTAGCCTCCCCGAGTTTACTTAAACTCTTTAGTTTGACAACCTTAATGTCAAAAATGAAGTTTAGTCATGAATAGGCAATTCATGGTTAATCAAGATTACATTCATGATAAAGCAATAAATATATTGCAAGGATTTTGCACTTACATCATTAATTTCACCATGTCGGCTTCTAATAACTTGGACAAGATAATTTTCCTCCTTGTCATCTTCGGTAAGTTGGACACATCCAATTACAATAGAATCAGGTCGAATCCACTTCACAGAATCAACTGGTACAATTGTACAACAAAAACTATATTATATGCAATGCGTATTATAAATCAACACAGCATAACCACAACAAAATTTCAAGCAGCAAGAAAATGTGTGGGACAGTTGAAGCTCTCAATCATCTATGCACATTGCCCATAATCTACTTTGAATTAAAATGTCCTACTATATGCTAAACTTTTCTGGTTCAAGTCAAACCTTAATTAATTACATCCCAATTTGATTATTAACATTTAACAAGTTTGAATTATCGATGATGATGGGGACATGACTATGAGCAAGGGCAAGGATTCACTTGAAGGACTTGGAGGACCTATGACAAAGACTAGAGCAAGGGAAACAAAGGATGTTCTTCAACAAGTGTTATTCATATTATTTGAATATGATTATTTCAATTGATGTCACGTATTTTAAGGAACATCATACTACAATAAGTCCCATCTTCAAGGAGAGAACAACGCTCATGAATATGGTTTTTCTTAATGGTTCTAATCTAATTTTTGAGTTTTATTAATACTATTTCATCACAAAAATCACTAGAATAAATGGAACCAAATAATTTAAATGTGCAAATTGGTGACTCCTCTAATACTCAAATGCCATCTCAAGATAAAAATGCAAAAACTACAGACATAGGTATGAAACAACATAAAGGTCTTGCTCACTCAAGGCAAGATCAAGCATAGTAAAACGGAGGTCCCATTCAACAACATCAAAAATCTAGTCAGAGGTTGGATCATGAAATTCCTGATGATCCCTTAGAAGTTCCTAAAGTGATGATCTAGATGTTAATCAGTCAAATTCTGCTATACCTTCCCACAGTTGTCAAGAAAGGGGTCAGCTCTTGTACAAAACATCCTTAGCCTTATGAGATACTTGTGAGATAAATGCACAATATGAGGTAGACATATTCTTCTAAGAGATATACTTTGTCAAAGGATATAGTCAATGACACTCTTATAGCATGCTTTTTACAAAGAAATCTCCCAAGGACAAAATTTCATTTTTATTGTCTATGTAGATGACATAAATTTAACTGGCGATGATTTAGAATAATCTTAGGAATGGAAGTTGCAAGATCACAAAGGGCATTGTGTCATCACAACAAAAGTACATTCTTGAACTCTTAAAAAAAAAAAACAATATGAGTGGATGTAAACCTTCATATACACACCTATAGAGATCAGTGCTAAGCTTAGAGATGTCACAGATGACATAGGTAGATACCAAAGGTTGGTTGGAAAATTAATTTGCTTATGCTACACTCATCCAGACATTTTTGTTGTTGTGAGCATAGTGACCCAATGTATGCATTGCTTTATGAAGTTAAACATGAAACTATATATAGGATTCTTCACGATCTAAGAGGAACAATAGAAAAAGAGCTCGTAAAGAAAATAGAGAGAGAAGCTAAGGTGTATACTAATACTGATTGGAGAGAATCAATTACAGATTGGAAGTCTACATCGAGGTACTGCATAATTCTGTAAGGTAATTTGGTCACGTAGAGAAGCAGTAAGTAAAGTACTATTGCTAGAAGCAATGTCTAGCCTAAATTTAGACCAATGAGTCAAAAAGGGGTTTGGCATGATTTGTGGCTCAAAAGAGTTTTAGAAAAGCTTAAGAGACCAATTGAATTTCCAATGAAGTTGTATTTTGATAACAAGGCAACTCTTAGCATTCCTGTACAACGTGATTGGGCAAAACATGTTAAGATTGATAGACACTTCATAAAGGAAAAACTTGAGGAGGGAATAACATGCACTCCATTTGAACTAACTACACATCAAGTTGTAGATATTTTGACCAAAAGGGCTATTGAGACAGTCGTTTGAACTACAAGTTAGCAAGTTGGCATGATTGATATCATTGCAACTTGAGGGGGAGTGTTGGTAAATTAAGATTGAACTTTTGGTGCTAAATTTAGATTATATAAAATTCCCATAAATAAAGGGAGAATACATCAAGATCAAATCAATTCTTGATATTTTGTATTTCTAGGAATATGATGTTATTATTCTTTTACTATTTATATGTTGTAAATCACTGACAAAAGAATCGCAATAAAGTTGTATTCCATTTCAACCTACATTAGGATTAAAGAAAAAAATTTAAAACAAAAACCAAAAACAACAAATTTTTAGGAACCAAAAGTATTGAGTTTTTTCATTTGACTTTTGATAGCTTTTACAAAACATCTTTTTCATTAAATTGTTCAATCAAAGGTGAATTTAACAGGTCTATGAAGAACTTATAGATGGAAATAAAAAAATAATTTATAAACACTACCTTTTATACTATCATTTGCTGCAGAATCACCAATCCATGATCCAAAGGATAGTGCAATTGAAACTCTTTCTTCAAACTTGGCCGATAAAATGCTTAGAACACTCTTTCTAGCAACCGCGACAAATGAACCTTTCAAACCCCAATCAACTTCACAAAGAAACAAATTAAAAAAGTAATTAAGAATGCCAAGAATAAGGGGAAAATGTTGTGAACCAGACATATGACTGAAATATTACAATGCCCCCCAAACACCCTGTTATATTCAGATATTAGGTAACAGAAGTGCAGGAAGAGAGAAGTCTATGCATGGACATAGCAAAACGTAGATTTTAAATCATTTCCTCGCAACCTTGAAAGATACAAAAAAATGAAGAAAGAAAAATTAAACAATAGTAACTAAATAATGATATACAGATGCACAAACACATCACACACTGACATATAACATAGTGAACTGATTCATATTCCAAAATCTACTGTCAATTGGTGCACTGTGTGACTCTTTCAATTAATAAAACATTAACAAATGGAATGGACATGAACATATTCAAGTGGTAAGTGAAAAACAAAGATGCATACCAGCGTCAACACTGTCCATCACATGTTTAAGTGGAAAACCCATCTCGCCATAATATAGTTTCCCAATATTTGAAAGAACAACATAAGAATTTTTTTGTGTTGTTATCCAGCGCATGTCCTTGACAAAGGTTGAATCATCGAGTGAACAGGAAAAGGATTGTTTCACTTCCTAAACGATGAGAATATAAATATTAAAGTTAATTTGACATCAAATAATTCAAGCATACAAGTTGCGTTTTAAATAAAGATAGAAAGCAGAAAAACAATGCCAAAAGTATAGAGATTGGGCACCTTTCCAGCCTTTATTATATTTTTGATTCATTTGTTATTTCTGTTTATGTTTATCAAGTTTTTATTCTCCGTCATGGGCCATCATGCAAAACCCAATTCGCCACCACCTTGTTGTGGCCCCACCATGACAAATGTTCAATAACACTATTCTTCTGTCTCTCTAATTTTCATCCCTTTGTTTGATCTCCCTCAATTGTATAACTATAAGGTATTATTTCTTATTTGGCTGAGAGAGAATTAATTTCTCAGCATTTAAAATTTAGGGAGGATTCAGTATTCATTATTGTTCGCTGTCTTTAAGTATATTATTTGTCTTTTTCATCAATTTAGTACACTACTTATCTTGAAGTATATTATTTGCCTACGAGTATTATGTTATATGCATGTGTATGCTCTTCAGAGGTAGTTTAATATTATATATATGTTGGAATAAATTAGAAAATATATGTAATCATTATACCTAAGGTAGGAGGTTGAGTGTTAGATAATCTCTGCAGGGGGTTGAGTGTTAGATAATCTCTGCACCTAGTTCTGAGGAGTAATCTAGGACTGTGCATTTAATGTAATCTCCCTATTGTATCGAGTTTTTATCTATATAAATACGAGAACTATGAGAGGGGTTCTTCAAGCCCTCTAAAAACACTTTTTCTCGGTTTTTGAATATCAAGTTGGTATCGGAGCGGGTCGATCCCGCTCCGCTCGTTTCTGTAGTATCCGGCACTTGTTTTGCCGGCTGTGCGCCTCCGGCCACCGTCTGCGCCGGCCACCGTCCGACTCCGGCCACCGTCCGACTCCGGCCACCGTCCAGACTCCGGCCACCGTCTGCCGCCGGCCACCGTCCGCCTCGGTCACCGTCTCCGATCGTCCGGTTTCGCGGCGACCACCGGATCCGAATCGTCTCGCCGTGCAACAGCCAACCCGTCGGTCCGGAAGCTTGTTCTCCGCCACGCGCCGCCTCTTCATTTCGGTGAAGTCCAGTAGTCACCCTTGCGAAAATCACTCTTGGGCTTTCGGACTTCTTTGCTTGTTTTCGCCCCCTCCTCATCGGTCTTTGTCCTCTTGATCAGAAATGGCTGCAATTTCATTCTCTGGAAGCCCCTCCATTACTTCCGAAAAACTAAACGGACAAAATTATCTATCTTGGTCTGCTACCGTCGAAATGTGGTTTCTCGGTCAGGGGCATCACGACCACCATGAAAAAGACGGAAGCCATGTGCCGGAAGAAAAAGCTGAACAGTGGAAACAGGCAGATTTTCAGCTATGTGCTCTATTGTGGCAATCAGTGGAACCAAGACTTTTGATGTCGCTTAGAGCCTTCAAAACTTGTCACTCCTTTTGGAAGAAAGCTCAAACCATTTATGCCAATGATATTCAACGTCTCTACGATTCCGCAAATAAGCTGGCATCTCTAAAAATGACAGATCATGATACGGTGTCCTTTATGAATGACGCCCAGTCGGCTGTGGAAGAACTCAAGATGTTTTTGGAAGTCGATTCCTTAGATGAAATGAAAAAGAAGCTTGACAAGTATTACATGGTGATGATCCTTCGCGCAATACATCCTGACTTTAACCATATCAGAGATCAACTTCTGACCACTTATGAAGTCCCTTCCATGGATACCCTTATCACACGTCTGATTCGTGTACCAATGTCTGAGACTCAGGAAGCTCTGGCTCTAGTAGAACCATCTGCCATGGTTGCCACACGAGGAAGAGGAGGACGTGGCACCAGAGGAGGAGGACGTGGAGGTCGAGGACGTCCCCAATGCACCTACTATAAGAGGATGGGTCATACACAAGAGAACTGCAACTCCTTGCATGGTTTTCCTCCCAAAACTGCCAATGTCTCCAAGGCTGAAACCGTCAACTCCAAGTTCACTGAGGACGAATACCAAGAGTATCTACGGTTAAAGTCTAATAGCTTGGCACATACCTCTCAAACTGCCAGCACATCAACTGCTTGCATTTCTCAATCTATGGAGGGTCAAAATTCATGGGTAATTGACTCTGGTGCTTCTGATCATATATCTGGTAATACCTCCTTGTTCTCAACCATTTCCTTTCAAGAAAAACAACATTTCATAACCCTTGCAGATGGCTCTAAAGCTTCCTCAAAGGGAGTGGGCCAAGTTTCTTTATCTCCCTCCATAAGCCTAAACTCTGTCCTTTTTATTCCTAATTGTCCTTTCAATTTGATTTCCTTAAGTCAGTTAACCAAAACCTTAAATTGTTCAATAACCTTCGATAACAAATCTTTTGTTATACAGGAGCGTGGTTCGGGGAGACAGATTGGAGAAGGATATGAAGCTGGAGGATTATACCTTTTTGGTCCTCGTCCACGTGTGTCCTGTGTTGCTACTCCGAGCCCTAAAATGTTACATGATCGGCTTGGCCATCCTCATTTGTCAAAATTAAAAAGAATGTGTCCTGAACTTAGTGGTCTCCAGACCTTAGAATGTGAGTCATGTCAGCTAGGGAAACATGTTAGATCTACCTTTCCTAAACGGTCTCAATCACAGTGTACTTCCAGTTTCTCTATTATCCATTCTGATATTTGGGGACCCAGTCGCATCTCATCTTTTGGTTTTCGGTATTTTGTTACATTCATTGATGAATATTCACGATGTACTTGGGTTTATCTTATGAAAGATCGCTCTGAATTGTTACCCATCTTTACATCCTTTTTGAATGAAATTAAGAATCAATTCAGTCAAGTAATCAAAATTTTAAGAAGCGACAATGCTAAAGAGTACTTCTCATCCCACCTTTTCTACTGTTTTGAGTTCACATGGAATATTGCATCAGTCCACCTGTCCTCATACACCACAACAAAATGGTATAGCAAAAAGAAAAAATAGACATTTGGTTGAAACTGCACGTACTCTTTTGCTGGGTGCTCATATTCCTGTCCATCACTGGGGGGATGCCATCTTAACTGCATGTTTTCTTATTAACAGGATGTCATCTTCCTCTCTCAGTAATAAGATCCCTTTCTCCATTCTATTTCCAAATAATCCTCTCTTTCACACATCTCCTCGAGTTTTTGGTTGTGTATGTTTTGTTCATGATATGTCTCCCGGGTTAGACAAGCTTTCTGCTCGTGCTATCAAATGTGTCTTCTTGGGCTATTCCCGCCTTCAAAAAGGGTATCGGTGTTACTCTCCTGAAACCAAGAAGTACTACATGTCTGCCAATGTTACATTTTTTGAACAGACTCCTTACTTTTCTCCTTCTGTTCAAGATGTTCATGTCATACAGCAGGTTCTTCCCATTCCAGTAGTTGAGTCTAATATTTCCAATGTCTCTATCGATCTCCGTAGTGATCCAAGTCTTCCTGAACCATCCTCCCCTCAAATTGATGTTGTCAATCATAGGACCCCGATGGCTAGTCCTGTTCTCCAAGACGAGGGTGAATCCCCCACTTTAGATTCTTCTCCAACATCGCTTCCTACCATGACTCCTGGTGGAGGTGATTCAGGATGGCCCATTGCTCTGAGAAAAGGTACTCGTTCCACTCGAAACCCACATCCTATTTATAATTTTCTTAGCTATCACCGGTTGTCGCCTTCCTATTGTTCCCTTTTATCCTCAGTATCTTCTATTGCTATTCCGAGAAATGTGGAAGAAGCACTTGATCACCCTGGATGGCGACAAGCCATGATTGCAGAAATGCAGGCTCTTGACCATAATGCTACTTGGGAGCTCGTTCCCCTTCCACCGGGCAAAAAGGCAGTTGGTTGCCGCTGGGTATATGCTGTTAAAATCGGCCCTGATGGTGCAGTTGATCGGCTCAAGGCTCGGTTAGTTGCAAAAGGGTACACTCAGGTTTATGGCCTTGATTATTGTGACACTTTCTCTCCCGTGGCCAAGATGACCACTATTCGTCTGTTCTTCGCAATGGCTGCCATTCGTCACTGGCCACTTCATCAATTAGATATCAAAAATGCCTTCCTACATGGTGATCTTGAGGACGAAATTTACATGGAGCAACCTCCTGGGTTTGTTGCTCAGGGGGAGTCTGAACTAGTATGCAAATTGCATCGTTCTCTATATGGCCTCAAGCAATCACCACGTGCTTGGTTTGGAAAATTTAGCTCCATTGTTCAAAAATTTGGGCTAAGACGCAGTGAAGCAGATCATTCAGTCTTTTATTGTCATACATCTCTGGGTAAATGTGTTTACTTAATAGTATATGTTGATGATATAGTCATTACAGGAAATGATACTGTTGGAATATCTCAACTGAAGGAGTACTTGTGCAGACATTTTCAAACCAAGGATTTGGGAAGCCTAAAATACTTCTTGGGCATTGAAGTAGCTCAATCAAAAGATGGAGTTGTAATCTCTCAGAGAAAATATGCTCTTGATATATTACAAGAAACAGGTATGATTGACTGTAAACCTGTAGAGAGTCCTATGGACCCAAATAAGAAATTAACAACAGAAGAAGGTGAAGTATTCTCTGATCCAGAGAGATATAGGAGGCTGGTCGGAAAACTGATTTATCTCACTATTACAAGGCCTGATCTATCTTTTGTTGTTGGAGTGGTTAGTCAGTTCATGCAGACTCCATGTGCTGGTCATTGGAATGCTATCATTCGCATTCTAAGGTACCTTAAAAAGGCTCCCGGACAAGGATTGTTATATGAAGATAAAGGAAGCATTCAGGTCACTGGGTACTGTGATGCAGATTGGGCAGGTTCACCTGTTGATAGACGGTCTACCACTGGATATTGTGTCTTCCTTGGAGGAAACATTATTTCATGGAAAAGTAAGAAACAGAATGTAGTGGCTCGATCGACAGCTGAAGCCGAATATAGGGCAATGGCGTCACTAACTTGTGAACTTATATGGGTAAAACAGCTCATTCAAGAGCTTAACTTCTGTGATATCCAGACTATGAAGATGTATTGTGATAATCAAGCTGCACTCCACATTGCATCAAATCCCGTATTTCACGAGAGAACTAAACATATAGAAATTGATTGTCACTTTGTTCGTGAAAAGTTGTTGACAAAAGAAATATGTACCGAGTTTGTTGGATCAAATGACCAACTCGCAGATGTGTTTACCAAGTCCTTAAGGGGACCTCGGATTGAGTTCATTTGTTCCAAGCTTGGTACATACAACTTGTATGCTCCAGCTTGAGGGGGAGTGTTGGAATAAATTAGAAAATATATGTAATCATTATACCTAAGGTAGGAGGTTGAGTGTTAGATAATCTCTGCAGGGGGTTGAGTGTTAGATAATCTCTGCACCTAGTTCTGAGGAGTAATCTAGGACTGTGCATTTAATGTAATCTCCCTATTGTATCAGTTTTTATCTATATAAATACAGAACTATGAGAGGGGTTCTTCAAGCCCTCTAAAAACACTTTTTCTCAGTTTTTGAATATCAAGTATATATATATATATATATATATATTAGGGAAACTCTTGTGAGTTTATCGAGCATTTAGGTATTTACCTAAACTCTCTAGCTTCACAACCTACATGTTGGGATTTGATTAATCGATATAATTTTGTTATTTAATTGACAGGTGACCATACACCAGTAGCTAATGGAATTTATAGAATAAAAAGTTTCTAAGGATTGTTGAATGATCAAATTGCAGTTCCATGCATCTAATCATTCAATGAATTAACAAACCTCTTAGTTCTTTATGTCTTCCTGATATATTTTTTGGCATTTTCTGACACTTGGAATAATGGACCACTTGAAGATAAATCTTTGAAAGTAGTAGTCAGCATGATTAGAATGATTATTAACTACAAACACCAACAAGAAACAATGGTAAACACGAGAAAAGGCTAAGGAATAAGATGTTTACAATTTAAACTTAGTACACAGGTAAAGATAGAGCAAGAAATGAGGTGACTATTATTGTGGATAAGAATTATAAGCATAATGCGGTTGAGCAGGAAAATTAGGAAGTCATAGGTTTGCATGCACCACAAGTAAAGCCAGAGGGACAACAATAGGTAAAATATGAGGAAGATTTAGAAGGGTTAGTTGAATAAGTTTTAAAGCAAAAAATAAATAAATAGATAAATAACTCAAGCTCATACTGAATTATCATGTTAAAAGGGAAGTAATGGGAGTGCCCAAGGACTTTTCTGTATAAATGAAGGAATTCATTAAGATGAATCCAAACTTCAGGAGTATAAGAGATCCTCTTTATAGAACATACAAGAGGACAAAACAAAGAGATCAGAAGATTATTAACAAAGCCAAGCTACTCAATCTCTAAACATTGCTGCAAGGGAAATCAAATGCCTAATTTTATCCCAAGGAACTTCTCATAAAAGATATCAGTTAAAACAATGTAAGAATTGTGCTCCAACCCAATAATGCCTTACACATTTCTACTCATCTCACTATCTTTCTCCTTATCTCATATCAAATTACACAACTTTCAAAAAAAATTTGTATTTCTCACCTCTTTCTACTCTACCAAACAACAAAATATTCACTTTTCTCTTCAAAACCATACAAGGCATGCACGACTTACAAACTTGCACTCTGTCATTTGCAATTGATTCACTTGCAAGATTACTTGACAAAATATTAGAGAATTTCAGAGAAAATTTTTCTAAATTGCTTGAGTGAACAACATTAAGCAAGCTGGATATTTAAAATTTTAAATACAAAGAGAAGTTATTACAGCAATTAATAAGAATGCTACTTCCTGCTACAAGATTGTTACATCCTATGAACTTTCCTTAGAGGGAATTTTGGACTTCCAAACAGGTTTAGCAAGATGTAATGGGACTTGATTCAGCAAATGGGCAATCATTAAAAATTGAAAGTAAGAATTACACAAAACAAGCCAAAAGGATCAAGAGACCAAAGCCTTTTCATCCAGACTATCAGGGGTAAAGGAGAGAATCAAGGAGACCCTAAAGGACATTCTATCATTTTAAGATAAACAGAAAGTGGAAATTCCAACGAAGAACATAGAGCTTTTAACAGGGTAAAAATTGGGAATAGAAGATTTGTGTAATAAAGATAGCCAATAAAATAGTAAGAAAGCCAAACTAAAAGAGGATCTTCAACAAATGGCCCTCCCCAAATGAAAGCAAAGACTAAAAAGGAAGTACAACGTAGAAAAATAAATTTCAACAGGCTAAATTGATAAGCTTGGGCTGCTGTATTAACCTCTCCATCCTAATCTGCGGCATGCTCCAAGTAACTGCCATCGGGAATGATGTTCCAGAGGAAAACAAAACAACCAGTCAGCCACCCATTCACTAAAGGAGTTCGCAAAGGTTTGGCAGTAGGTATGGTATAGGTGAATCAAATGTAAAGGAGAAAAAGATGTGTAGGGATTTCAAAGGCATGTCATGAAATCCCCAGACCTACCCACCTAGGTTTTTTTCCATCATGCATGCTAAGAGGTATCAAGGAAGAATCATCATTTTGTAGACCTAAGCATCAGGCAATAGAAGCTTAAGAAAGGTAAAATTAAAGTTCAAAAAATTAAAATGGAGATTAGACAAGGGGCAGCAGTGCAAACAATTACCATACAAGGGAATAGATAGCAAAGAGAATTTTCAAGCTTGCAAAGGTAGTTAATTACATCACAAGGGTCCACTGACCAAACACATCATCAAAAGGTTTTGTTGTTCAAAGAGAATACTAATTGCCTAAGCTCCTCGGTTAAGATTGCCTGAGTTGTTTCATGTATAGTCATTTAGTTTCTGTTTCTTTTATCTTTTGTAAGCCAAGAGCTTAATTAGCTTCTGCTTAAGGAGGAGTGCCAGCAATTAGTTTAGACTCGTTAGCACATTCAGCGAGTTAAAATATTCGCAAACTCAGTTACTTATTACTATGGTTAATAGCTAGTGATTAGTCCATGATTAGTTATTGTGCTTAATTTACACTTTAACACAGATAAGATGCACTATAGGTACTAGTAACCTCTGATTCAAAAAGTGGAAAGCTAATAACTTGAATAAAACTCTATTTCAGGTACTGAAAGTGACGGAAAGAGACTTCATTCACATCCACATTCACATTCAGCATAACAACAAAGTAAGAGATGAAGAAAACCAACATCACGAGTATGCCTACTATGAAATAATCTCTAAGCCAAACCGCAAAACCACAAAATCATGTACCTTATTGAGAAAGCTTTCAACAAGGTAAAACCAAATGTCGCTGGAGACAGAAGCCACCGCTGCCAGAGTCAAGTTATCGGTGGAAAGAGCCAATGCGCGTACCCTCCCAATAGGAACATCCACGAGACTCAGTTGCTCCACCGGAGAGCCAGTTCCTCCCTTCTCCTTAAGCTCGCCGGCCGAATCAATAAGGTCCTTAGTTCTCGCAACGAGAAAACCTAAACCACAAAAACCAAAACTAAATAACATTCAATCTGAGCACACAAAACACGAGTTCAATTGAAATGCAGTTTCAGATTACCCGAAGAATGAGCCACAAAAGTGAGGCGAAAGCGTTCAGAGAGCGCGAGAGGCTGCGAAGGAAGTGTTTCGGCGTCGAAATTGGAGTCGGAGCTTTTCAACGGAATGGCCTCGCCGATTTTCACGAAGAAGTAATCGGTGGTGCCTATTATTTCTCCGTCGACCTCTTCGGGTACGATTTTTGTAGGACTCATGTTTCTGCTGAACGCTTCTCCCCGAACGAATGAGTCTGTCGGTGAGTGGTTTCAACTGTCAGCGAGCGAAACAATTCGAAAGCGCGCAAAGTGGAGGTGAAGTAAAGGAGGAACGAACCGGGTGCGGTGAGGATGGTTGCTTTAGGTTGACAGCTTTGGTGTGGGTTCTAGTTAGTGTGTGCAACGACTCTGGGTATCACCGCGCCCCTAAGGGCTTTTTATGGCAGGATTCTCAGAAGAAAAAATAGCATAGAAGGGGAACACGGGAGTGGTGGGAAAACGGGAGGGAGTAAAACGAATAAATAATAAATGTAAATTATCAAATAAGACTTAAAAACTTAAAATTTTTATTTTTAATTTTAATTAGTTTTTTACACATAACTTTTTTTATTTTTAATTTAAAAGCTTTTACACAAAATTTTATATATATATATATTTTTTCAAACAAATTTAAATAAATACTTTATTTTAATTATTATTATTATAATTAATGAGACAAAACTAAAAAATATTATTTTCTTTTTTACTATATTATTATTTATCAATATAATATAAAATAAATAAATTATTTTTATTTTGTATTTTTATATTATTAAATATGATTTATTAGTAAATTTAAAATATATTTTAAAAATATTAAATTATAATTTATTAAATAACCCACAAAATTTATAAAGATGTGTAAAAAATTTATAAGATATTAAAAGATAAAGGCAATAGTTCACATTAATGGTTTCTTATCTTACAATATTTCAAATATAAATTTATAATTCATATAATTTTTTAAGGACCATTGATTTTATCCCATTAAATTTTTATGAAACAACTATAAAAAAATAAAAATAAATAACTTATTATATCACATAAAATATCTTAAATGAAAAGTTATTTTAGACATTAGTATTATAATTTTTAATAAAAATTAACTTATTGAGATGTGTTATTTAAAATATTTTTTTATTAAAATAATTCTATATGGTATGTAAGTTGCTTATAAACATAAACAACTAATATGAATTATCTCTTATGTTGAAAAATGTAAAATATGATTTTGTTGTTTCTCATCTTTTTTTAAGTAACCCATTATTAATTTTACTTCAATTGCATTTTTCTTAAAAAATTTTAAATAATTCATTCTTTTTCATATTTTCTCTTCTCATTTACTTGCTTTGTTTATATTTAGCATTTTCAATGAAAAATAGTTATTAAAATGCTTAAATAAAGTATTAGTTGATTGAAACAATTTCCGTTAAAAGAATCCTATATGACATGATAAATGTTTAAATTTTAAAAAAAATTAAAAAAATAAAATCGATAATAAATTGCTTAAAAATAATGTAACAACATAAAGATTTGTTTTACATTTTTAAGAAAAGAAACAACTCATTTGAGTTATTTTTTTAAAATATATTTTAAGTTGTTTGATGAAACAACTATAAAAAATATTTAAGCAATTTACTATGTCATATCATATTTCTCTAATGAAAACTTATTTGAAACAACTAATATTTAAATTATTTAAAAATTTTATTTTATTAAATTTATATTAATTAAAAAACCTTAAATTTTAGTAAAATATGTATCGAGGTAAAAATATAATATTTACTTTAATTAATATATATATATATATATATATATATTAATTATTATTTGGAACACCCATCTAATATGATAAATGTACTAAGTGAAAGAAACCTAAGTTTATATCGAACAAAAAAATTATAAAATACAATTCATCAGATTAAATAAATTATTTTATTCTCTACTTTTATTTATTTTAAATAATAATTTATATAAAGATATTTTATATATACAATAAAAAGAACGATTTTAATTTATCATTATTATATATATCAGCTAAAAAATATATAGATTTTTTATTAGACAAAATTTTTATTAAAATAAATTATATATTTTTTATTTTGTCAACCTGATATACTATATTTTATTCATTTTATGTATAAGTTGCCTTAAAAGCTTCTATTAATCATTTTATATACATTAGTTAGTTAAAAAACATTTATATTTTATTTAAAAAATATTTACTTAAATTCATATATTATATTTTATTTTGCATATTTTATCTTACATAAGTTTTAAATTATTTGTATCTTAATTTTATCTTTCTGCAATAAAAAAATATCTATTTTTCTGTCATAAAAGTTGGTTCAATTTCGTGTAATTATATTTTAATGATTATAAATATTAATTCAACACAACAAAAATCTTATTTTTAAATATTAAATGTATAGTAATTAAATAAAATATATTTAAATTTTGAGTAGAAAAAAATTGTAGTAAAAATATGAACATCCAATATTAAAAACTTGTTTTATGACTTAACAAATTTTAAATACAATTTTTTCTTACTCAACTTTGCTTTTTAAATTGTGGTTTAATCTTTTTTTTCGTGTATTTTCTTCTTAACTTTTTAAAGTATCATGATATTTTCTTATAATACATTTTTGTTAAATTTTAAATGGCACTAGCACATGCTTATAGGTTTAAACCAATATACATATTTATTAAACAAAGTAGTATAAAACATATTAACTAACTTGCATATAAAAAAAATAGTTGATAATACAACTTTTATGAATATTGAGATATAAATATAAAACAAATTGATTTATTGTACTAGGGCCCGTTGAAAAGGATTGTAGGTAAATCAATTCATTATAGAAAATAATTTATTATTATTAGATACTGATTATATTATATTTGTAATTGTTATTATGTTATTACTGTCATTTTGTGGATAATCAATGATATATTATGTGTCTTATACTACATATGAGTTATGAATGAAATTAAAGAAGATTCAAAATTTTATTTTTTTCCTTTTATCTTTATGAGTACCTATCAATTTGGTGGCTTCATTGAGTTTTGTCACCATGGGTGACTATAATACACATGTCAAATCCATTAAATGAATAAAAGAAATTGTGTAGTCAATTTCTTCTACCCAATCCGAACTCACCTCTAAAATTGACTTCATCCTTTCCCACCTTGCTAGCCTTACCACAAACGTTATAACCACTCAAAAACCACAAATCATATATGAAACTTATGTTCCCTATTTTGATGGCTCTGATCTTATGAGATGAATTTTCAAAATAACCCAATTTTTATATTATCATGACACCCTAAATTCTTAAAGGTTATTTGTTGCCTCCTTTTACATGAACGGTCTAGCATTGAGTTGGTACTAATGGATGTACCACAATGATCTCATCCAATCATGGTCTAGGCTTCTTCACGTGCTTGAAACACGTTTTACTCATTCCTACTATGATGACCCTCGCGGAGCCTTATTTAAACTCATGCAACAAGGTATAGTTAACTCTTATGTCACTCATTCACCATTGTCACTGATCACAAAAGTCTTAAGAATTTCATGTCTCAAAGCATTTAAACTCCAAAATAACAAGTGTGCTTATCTAAATTGTTGGGATATGATTACACAATCAAATACCGTGCAGGTCATCATAATATTATTGTTGATGCTCTATCTAGGCAATTTGATTTTGGAAACTCCCTTTTTATGGTGTTTTTTATGCCTCACTTTATCTTCTTAGAAGAAATGCATTATAACCTTGAATTTAATAGTACCTTCATTGTTATGGTTCAAAAGGTCCATGACTTTCCTTCTTATCACACCGAATATAATATACATAATGGGTTTCTTATCTTTAGAAATCAAATTTTTCCATGAAGACCATCCTATTACAAGAATTTCAATTTTCCCCAATTGTCAACCACATGGGAGTATTCAAGACTTTGCATTGCCTTTAAATAATTTTCCTGGGTTGGTATGTGAATTGATGTTAAACACTTTGTTGCTCAATGTCATACTTGCCAACAAATTAAATACAAGACTAAGTGTCCAATAGGCCTCCTCCAACCTCTCCTTGTTCCTACTGCGAATTAGGAAGATCTCTCCCTTGACTTCATCATTAGACTTCCTCCCTCTTCCAGTTTTACTGTAATATTGGGAGTAATTGACCAATTTTCAAAGGGGGTCACTTTGCTACCTTGCCCACCCATTTTTTCAGCTTTTAAAGTTATCCAAGTATTTATTAATATAGTTTGCAAGTATCATGGTCTACCTCGTAGTCTTGTGTCTAATAAGGATCCTATCTTTATCAACAAATTTTGGCAAGAACTATTCAAACTTAGTGGTACAATCCTCCACATGAGTACCTCCTATCATCCACTGACTAATGGTCAAACTGAACTTTTGAATAGAGTTCTAAAATAATACATCCATTCATTTGTTCATGAGTAACCTTTCCGTTGTCAATGCTACTTATCTTTAGTAGAATGGTCTTATAACACTTCAATTCACTGTACAACAGGTCTTTCTCCCTTTCAAATTATGTTTGGCAAAGAACTTCTTTCAATTCCTCAATATCTTCTAGGCACCTCTTCCATTGAAGTTGTGGATCAACTTCTTTCAAATCGTCATCAAATGCTTTGTACATTACAACAAAAACTCCAAAAAATCCAACTTCAAATGAAACACCAAGTTGACTAACAACATCGAGATGTTCACTACAATATAAGTGATTGAGTTTATATTTGATTACCTCTTTATCGCCAACTATTAGTTTCAGGTGATTTTTATCACAAGTTATCTAAGTGTTATTATGGACCTTATCTAATGTTATAACGACTTAGTTTTGTGGCTTACAAATTGGATTTACCTCCTTCCTCCAAAATTCATCAAGTTTTTTACCCAATTCCCTCTTACATAGTCGAACTTTCACTTACTGCTTGTGATGATAATCCTCTCTTCCAACCATTTAGTATTTTGCAATCCAAGTGAGACAATTTGTCTCCTCCCCAACGTCTTGTTTTAGTGCAATAGATGTGACTTTCTCCTAATGATTTAAGTTAGGAAAAATGGAACGATTTTGTTACTATTTACCACCTTGAGAACAAAGTGTATTTTATAGTAGAACCCATTAATAATACAACCTTTATGAATATTGAGACAA